TGCACACGGTAAATTCTGATCATTTATAATATGGATTCTACCGGGTTGTTAAAGCTCAAATTAAAACATTCCAGTTTAAATGTCTTCAAAATGCATTCTGAAACACAAGTTATCAATTATTTTGATGTAGATAGTGGTAATAAATTAATATTTCCTAAGTATCGGCAACTTCCGCCATTAAAAAGGGGGCGTGGCCCAACCCATGGCGAAATTAGGTTGAGCGAGCTGCATGACCTGCTGCGAACGCGTAGAAACATAGCGTCTCTCGTAAGACACTTATCGCTGTGAAAATTGGCATACATGTAGATCAATAGATTCCCCAGATGCAAAAAAAATTTGGTAGTGACAAATTTTTTCCTTCTACTTAATTTTAATGATGAAAGTTGCCTTATATTTACCAAGGATTTTCTCAAAGCTGACTGATTGTAAATGAAAAAGAAATTGATTAAAATCTAGGCCAAGATGTCTACCTAATTATAAGGCCGAAAACGGAACTCAAATATATATCGAAAGTACTAATTTAATAATAAATAGACACACACATCGGAAAATTAAAAACTCTGATTTTTCGGCGCCGATTGCGAAATCCCATACACAAAAAGTAGTAGTCTCCCTTGACTTACCGAAGTATCTACTCTTTAGTTCCTTGAATTTTGCATGTTTTTCATGAGATTTCTAGTGACCTTAAAAAAGAGTCAATAACTTTTAGAAAACTTGTCTAAAATTCATGATGTCATATATATTATTGTGGGGAAATGCATGAGGTTTCTAAAAATATTTGTTTTCAAATACATAGTGTCAATACTTAGAAGTTGTGAAAAAAAAATGCAATTTTTAAAAAAATGAAAATGTGTAAAAAAAAAAAATTGGTGATCACATGCAAAGAAGGAAAAAAACAAACCACATAAAATTATTTAATAAAATCTTTTTATTTAGAAAGCGAATTCATTTTCCTATATCATATTCTTGATTTAGAACATTTCATGAGAATTTGACCAAAATATAAATTATTTTTAAAAAATGTGTCAAAAAGGGGAAATAATTTTAAAAAAATAAAAATCACCGCCCCCACCAAGTATTCACAAAAATTACAGGTTATTATTATTTTACCTTTTAAAAATTACTTCAAGATTTAAAAAAATAATAGAGATTTTAAACTTCATGGTACTGTTAGTCAGAAAGTTTCTTGTTTTTTTAACAAAGATAAATTTACCATGCGCTATATTTGATTTATAATTTTATTTTCTAAGCATTCCTAATTTAAAGCACTAGCACACTGACAATGGCTTTTAAAATCTATGCAATCAGGAATTATTGCATTTAGATTGTATTTGGTGTTATTTACATTTGCAGCACTTGGAACTGCATCACTTTCAGTAAATCATCAAATGCTAAAATAATTTCCTCCATGAAGTCAGTTGAGAATAAAATGTCAGGTAGCTTCAGTTCATCTATATCATAGTTTTCTTTTGAACAATCCTGACGAGATTATAGCTGTCATTATCAACAAAATGGCAAAAGGGATAGGTCCAGTGCTGTTCTCTTTACTTAGAATGATATATTCATTTATCAACTGGTCAACACCACACAGGAATAAATTGTATGATTTCAAAATCTGATTCGACAATATTTGGTTTTTCTCCCCAATAATTGCCTAGAAAGACACCATCAGTTTTGGTTTTGTTCACAAAAGAAAATCCATTTGCTGTCATATTATTTGAAATAAGTGAGGCTTGTCTAATTTTCTCTCCACTGAACATAATATAAATTATTATCCATCACATCATATCACATTGCTTTGGTTTTTATCTTTATTTACTTCTGATAAAGTCTGACTAAATGAAACAAATAATCCCTTTATTTGTTTATACTTATAAATGTTAAACAATTCCACAGAAGATTTGAAATTAATATCTAAAGAATATTGTTATTATAAGTTTCGGGAAATTTAAAAAAAAATATTTAACATATTTAATTAATTATCGTAATTTCAAATAAGTGACGAGTCAGCATATTTTATATATTTTTAATAGGAAAATAATAAAGATTTTCTTTTTAATTTTTGCGGAATATTAACAAAATCTAATTTATATTTTGTGGCTTTATTTAGAAGTACTCATATTTAACTATGTACCATGTACCCTGTAAATATTATATTTTTGTCTCATTTTATAATAGTTATAGGCGTTTAAAAAAAGGCAAAATGAGGGTCACAAATGTGGAGGAAAACCCCATAGTAAAAAATTGATTTTGAGGTTCCTACTAAAAAATTCATAACTTTTGAACCACTTGAGCTAGAAAGTTGATCTTGGTCTTTTTGTAATCTATTCTCCAGGCTCTATACAGCTGTAGTATTTTTATATTTTAAAAAAGTTTTGAAATTTTCATCAAAGTGCCTAGTAATAATAAATAAGGCAGGGATTCTTACCACATGTCACATGTTTTTATATTGTTGCTTTACTTTACTTTTAACTTTTACTTTACTCTTTACAGTACTTTACTTTTCCTAATTTAGGCGTGCTAGAAGACTGGCACATAATTCACTAAAGCAGCAATTGTGAAAACGGAGAAAACTAGAGAAGATTTTTAAAATAAAATAAATTATCCAACTAGTCTGCACTGGGAAGTTGGATTTGGACATATTTTTTAATATCTAGTTAGTCGCATTTGAAATATTGAAATATATTTTTAGAACCCACTAAACAGCTCTATCCCTTAAACAATATATCCCCTCAATGACTTGCTGTAGTTATCGAGTGTCGAAAGAGTCAAAACGATTGCAAAAAAAACATTTTGAAATCAAAGCCGGTAAGTCCTTTAAAGAAGCACTGAGTAAAAGTACATCCTTGACATCTTTTTGTCAAATATTAAATTCAAAATCACTTTTCCAAAATCAAGTAGCTTGCATAGAAGATATGTTTTAATAAAATAAAAAAGAGCACATTTCTGAGTGCAGCTTTAAAGATGATTTGTGCCATAGGAATAATTATTTTATTGTCATACCAGATATTTTCATTAATATCTTTATTATTTTCTTTTATTCATATCAGATATAAAATGTGGCAGAGATATAGCAACAGCTATGATTTTAGAAATGTCTTCAATGACTATGAAGAAATTAGCCATTAGGATGCCAAGATTGCCATTCAGTATTGCTACTGACACTGATGGTAGTAAAGACTCAGACAAAAAGCAGTACTCTCCAGTGGTCACCATTGAAGGATAGGGTGGCCTTGTAAATTCCCATCTCCTAGCTTTGCCGGTGTACAAAGTGTCCTCGGCCACAGGACAGAATATATTTAAGATCATGGCAGATGAATTGAATTCACAGGGCATTTCATGGGTAAACTGCATTGCATTTGGCTGTGACAATGCCAATGTGATGACTGCCCAATACAATGGGTAAACTGCATTGCATGAGGCTGTGACAATGCCAATCTGATGACTGGCCAATACAATGGAGAATACAGTTTTACTAAAGGAGAGCAAGACATTTATCTAGCATGACGCTGCCTCCATCTGGTGCATCTTGCAGCTAAAAAGGAGGCTTCCTGTCTCACCCAAGTTGAGGAGGTCCTGGTTGACGTTTGTTACTTCTTCAAGAAAAGTGTGAAGAGACAGAGTGAATTGAAGAACCTGCAAGTCCTGTATGGTGCAGAACAGATGAAAAGTATCAAGCATGTCTGCACCAGATGGCTTAGTATTGCAAGATACCTAAAATGATTGTTTGAAAACTGGGACCACTTTATGCACTTTTTTTATGAAGACAAATATACAAATTCCAAATCAAATAAGAAACCACATGATGGGCAGACCAATG